CTCTCCTTCCTTCCTTTCCTCTCACACTCATTTCTCAGTGCCCACCGCAGAAGCAGAGTTGACAGAAGTGAAATGAGTGCTGAAGGGAACATGGAAGCACATGGGGTGGGGGGAAGAGGCCCCCAGCCGGACAGGAGGCTGGACTCAAGGAAGGCAGAGGACAAGGGCCTGGGACAGCCCTGGGAAGGCCTGGAGCCCTCTCTGGGCTCCTGTCCTCTTGTGGGGGAGCCAGGAGCCCAAGACCCCCTCAGCTGCAAGCAGGAGGGAGCCTGCTGGTTGTGCCTCTGCCCCCAGCACAGGGCAGGGCCACTCCCTCTGCCTGCTCTTTATTTTGGGGGGTGGGAAAATGCCATTTCCTTAGGTTTGGGACAAGCAAAAGCAGCTCAGAACTAAATCGGAGTTTGGCAAATCATAGTGGCCATGTTTGGATCTGGTTGTTTTGTGGTTTGTGGTTCTTCCTGGCTCGGGCCCTGGCTGCCGAGGGAAGGATTTAGGTTAGACCTGGGGAAAGCATGGGGTCCGCTTGTTAAGGCTGGGAAGGGTCACTGAGGCAAGTTCGGGAATCCTCTGTGGGGCCCCCAGACAGAAGAGAGGTCTCAGATGGTGGGGGAGGCCGCAGGAGGGCTGGGGTGGACTCCAGCCGTCTCCCCAGCTCCCCTCACTTCCTCCTTCCCTGAAGAGAATGTTCTGGAAAATGCTGGTGGCCAGCGAGCTGTTGCTGTGTGGAGGTGATCGTGTGTTCTTCCCTCTGCTCCGCATCCCTTCCTGCGCAGTCTGTCGTCTCCTGGAGCCAAGGAACCCAGCAAGGGCCAGAGAGGGACAGGGAGGGAGAGGGAAGATCTAGGAGAAGCAACCCCCCTTGGGGAGGCACGTGGCTTGGACTGCAGATGCCCTCCTGATCTCTCCTGGAGAGGGTCCCCCTAACTGTCCCAGGTTTGAGCATTCCTGGCTGTCGGACTTGGAGGGTGATGGTCTGAGGCTCCAGGCCTCTCCCTGCCCCTCCCCCTGCCGACAGAGGCAGCCCCCCAGCCTCTGCTCCTGGTCACTCCTCTCACAGGGTATTTTTACTTTTTTCTTTTCTCTGTTCCTGTTACATGATCAAAGGAAAGGGGGGGGGGGACTGAAAGAGGCGCAGTTTGCCCAGCTCTTTGGAGAAGATCAGAAAAGGCAGGCCTGCCAGGCAGGGAAGGAGTGGGGCCCAGCCCCTTTGGAGGGGGCTGTGGGCAGGCCGACAGGCTTGGGCAAAACCCTGTCCTTGGGGTCATGATTCTAATCCTGCAAGTATTTGCCTTTCGCCTCACTGTGGCCTTCTCCCCCTTGTGGATCTCTGTCCTTTCCCGGTATGTGTGTGTGTCTACTGTATATGGTGTGTGCGTGTGGGGCCTGTGTGTGCACGCTGCCCAGCCCACAGGTGCTCAGGCTTCAAGGAGAAGCCAGGGCCGAACCCTCAGAGAGAACCTGGGAGCCTGAGCAGGGCCTGACTGACAGCAGCCTGCGCTGGCCTCCCAGCCTGAATGCCCTGCTGCAGCCTCAGGTCCCTCCATTGGAAATTCAGGAACACCAAGCCTGAGCTCCCAGGCTGTGAGAACTGGATGAGGTGGGCATGGTGGAGTGGTCAGGAGCTGGGCAGCCTGCACAAGCTCTGTGTCCCAGGGCTCTCACCAGCTGAGGTTTGGTGCCTCAGTCTCCTCTGGGTCATAGGGACAAAAGTGCCCCCTAGCTCATAGGGAGGTGAGCACTGCCTGAGGAAATGTAAGCAGAGTACTTAAGATAGTGCCTGGCACAGAGCAGTGTGTTGTCATTTGCTGTTATTTCTCCTCGGGGCACTATTGGCATTTGGACAAGACAGTGTTTCATTGTGCAGGCTGTCCCCGTGACATCTCTGACCCCTACGTGGATGCAGGTAGCAGGTGACTCCTGCTCCCCCTCGTCACTGTGACATCTGAAAATGCCCCTGCAGGGACACTATGTCCCCTGACTAGATTTTCCTCCAACCCACCCATTTNCTGGATGCAGGTAGCAGGTGACTCCCGCTCCCCGTCGTCACTGTGACATCTGAAAATGCCCCTGCAGGGACACTATGTCCCCTGACTAGATTTTCCTCCAACCCACCCATTTTACAGATTTTGAAACTGAGGACTCTCTAGGGGACATGCCTGGCCCCAGCAGGGCAGTAGCAGGACTGTGGCATCTGTCTAAGGCTTCTCCAGTTTCTCTTTCTGAATTGCCTAGTATTGGCATCAGCAGCTAGGTCCCCACAACCTCTCAGTCCCCACAGCCACCTGGGAAAGAGCTCTGATGAGCTCACACGGAGGTGTGAGTGATCATGACAGTTCCATTCAGTTGTAGCCGCCCCCTCTCCTGTATTTTAACAGCTCTTACGCCTCCCCAAAGCACAGACCCCCAGTCCTAGGCCACTGGATCCTCGCTTTGGGGGTGAGGGTGGTATTAGGAAGCTTTCTTGCGGGCGCCCCCAGGGCTCTCTCAGTGTGACTGGTGCTGGCTTTGAGTCCGGAACCCACCCTGATTAGCTGTGTGACTTTGGGATGCTACTGGGCTACTGGTTCACTGCAGAATGGGGCTAAGGAGAATTAACAGTGTCCTTGGCCTCTGAGAAGCTAATAGGAGGGAGCATTTTGATGAGGGGGTGAGATGTGAGAGTCCAGAGGTGCTTGGCAGAGAAGCCCAGAAGCTGAGGCTGGACTCCCAGGTTCTGCACCCTCTCCTCCCCTCTCCTGTCCCAGAACTGGAGCAGTCCGGGCCTCTGTGGGGCACTTAGAGGTAGGGGACAGGTGGCTCTGAGACCACATCTCCTGGGAAACTTAATCCAAACACAAGCTCTTCTTCCAAATGGCTAAGGAAACAGGCACATAGTGGGCAGGTAGCTTGCTGGTTCATGTGACAAACCCATGAGGAAGGGGGCCTGGGGTTGGCCTTCTAGCCCAGCCCTGACTCAGCTTCCAGCCTTCTCTCTGTGGCCTCCCAAGTTGAGGGGAGGGAGGTTGCTGGCTTTGAGCAAGGAGGCTGGGGGAGGGAAGGAACCCCAGGGGAAATTAGCCCAAATTAGCAGTGAGATGAGGAAGAGCTGGTGTTCTCTCCTCTACCCTTGCAGATAAATATTTAATCACAACAACAATAATAATGACGGCGATCCTAATAGTGTGCAGTAGCTCAGGCTGTAACCTGAGCCCCACTCTCAGAGGGAGGAAGTGGGGAGAGAGGAGCAATGGAGAAATTGAGAGATAAAGATGGGCAGAGAGGGGAGGGAGGGAGGGAGGGAGGCCACGGGGAGAGGGAGGCTTGCTTGTCACTCAGGAGCCCCAGGGTTTGCTCTCTGCTTGGGGTCCCTGGGCAGCTGGGGTGGAANAAGGGAGGGAGGGAGGCCACGGGGAGAGGGAGGCTTGCTTATCACTCAGGAGCCCCAGGGTTTGCTCTCTGCTTGGGGTCCCTGGGCAGCTGGGGTGGAAATATGAAACTGGAGGGTCCACCTTGCACTCTCTGAGTCAGGAGGAGAATCCTGACCCCCCGACAGCCCCAGCTTCTCCCCAGCCCTCAGAGGAGCAGCTCCCAGCCCCATTCCTTCTCCAGGGGGCCTCTTGGCCTTCCTTACCTCCCAGTCCCCAGGAGCCTAAGTCTCTGGTTGCAGAGCTGGGAGTTGGGAAGCTGGGTGCCAGGTGATGTTCTGCTGGTCACTACCTGTGTGACTTGAGCAAAATGCTCTCCTGCTCTGGGCCTCAGTCTCCTCATCTCTGAAATGGGGTTGGGCACAGTGGGGCTGGTTTCTTGCTTGTCTGTCATGTGGATGGGTGTGGAGGAAGGTCCCTGCTCCTCCCAAGCCGTCCAGGCTGCCCCTGGGGAGTGTGCTCTCTGATGGCCAGGCTTCTGATAGCAGTGGGTACAGGCCTTGAGAAATGTTCAAACATGACCCAGTTTCTGTCTTAAGCTCTCCCATTTGGACTCAAGTTGAGCAGCAGCCAGGAGGAAACGAAGATGAGGAGATTTGTGGAGTCTTTGGCGATAACCTCTAGCGTCTCCTCTCGGGCTCCTGATGAGAGATCAGAATAGCTAATGTCTTCTTTGGGCTTCTATTTGATTCTCTCTCTCTCTCTCTCCCTTCTAAGGTTGGTAGGAGAACATCGGAGCTATTTTCTCTTTGATGCCAAGATACGCCAAGCTAGGAGCACGCGTCTTTGTTCACAGTCATCCACCAAGAACAGGCCTGCAGGACGTGGGGACTGAGACCAGAGCTTCATTGCACCTTGGCCATTGCTGTGGGCATGGCCTGTGCGGGCACCTGAGCGTCGCCCGAGTGGTGAGGAGCACCAGCATGGTTTACCCCGTTGGCAGCCCTCAGCCACCTCACTGCTGAAGCTGCCCTGGAGAGACTTGTGGGAGCTGCTCTGCCCATGCTCAGCCAGGCTGTGGGGCCAGGGGCCTGCCGGGGCTAGGAGGGGCCTGCCGTCCATGGATCTCTAGGGATTTCCGAGATGCCTGGGAAGAGAGGCTGGGGCTGGTGGTGGGCCCGGCTGCCCTTTTGCCTGCTCCTCAGCCTGTATGTCCCTTGGGTGCCTTCCTCCCTGGGGAAGCCCAAGGGCCACCCCCACATGAATTCCATCCGAATAGATGGGGACATCACACTGGGAGGCCTGTTCCCGGTGCACGGCCGGGGCGCAGAGGGCAAGGCCTGTGGAGAACTTAAGAAGGAAAAGGGCATCCACCGGCTGGAGGCCATGCTGTTTGCTCTGGATCGCATCAACAGTGACCCGGACCTGCTGCCCAACATCACGCTGGGCGCCCGCATTCTGGACACCTGCTCGAGGGACACCCACGCCCTCGAGCAGTCACTGACCTTTGTGCAGGCGCTCATCGAGAAGGACGGTACGGAGGTCCGCTGTGGCAGTGGCGGCCCGCCCATCATCACCAAACCCGAACGCGTGGTGGGTGTCATTGGTGCTTCAGGGAGCTCAGTGTCCATCATGGTGGCCAACATCCTCCGTCTGTTCAAGGTCAGTGCCCGATGGTTCGCCCCAGAGGCGTTCTTTCACGCACAGGGTGCCAGGCCCGGCCGGCTCCTTTCTCCCCTCCTCTTCCTTACTGCCAGGGAGAAGAGTTTCTTCCTGGGAGTAGTAGCTGAACACTTGAGGCCTGTCCCTTGCTGAGCTTGGGCCCAGCAGGGGGAAGGCTGCGGGGCGGGTCCCGGTGGCAGGGCGTTGCTGAAACAGCACCTGCCCCCGCAGCTCCTTGATCGGTCCCACTCGGGGAATTCTGACCCGAGGAAGTGCTGGCGAACAGCAAGGGAGGAGATATGCAGGCCCATACAGAAAAAGACAGGCAGGTGGGAAGGTAGATCAAAAGACAGACAGACAGATAGAATGGAAATGTGAGTGTTTCCATGGAGAAAAGTAAGAGTTTTGTTTTGACATTGTTTTCAAATACTTGCAATTCCCAAGGAAGATGTGTTTTTCTTCTGGGTCAATGCGAAAGCCCCGCGTGGCTCTCTTGCTCCACCCCAAGATTATGGTTAAAAAATGTGTCCTGATTTGGCGTTGGGCCCCTGAGCGCGCAGAGGCTGGAGGGGAGGATAGAAAAAGGCCTGGAGCAAGCAGGCGGTCCTCGCCTCTGGTGCCCTTGGCCCTGAGCCAAGCTTCCCTCACTCATTTCCTTCCTCTGCCCTTCCTCCTAGCACACCTTTCTCCCTTCCCTTCTGGAATCCTTCCCTGCCCCCTCCCTGCCGACTCCCTTCCTCTCTTCCTGGGGCAGGAGCTGCTGATTTGCAATTCAATTGGAGCCAAGTGCTTCGCTAAGCTGGTAAAGCAACTGAAAGCTACCCGGTAGAGAGAAAAACATTACAAGCATTTTACCCATAATTATGGGCCTGCTCCTCTCTGGGAGCCTCCTTGTTTGCTCTGTGTTTGTGTGTGTATGTACATGTGCTTGTGTGTATGTGTGTGTGCGTGTGTGTGTGAGAGAGAGAGAGAGAGAGGGAGAGAGGGAAAGAGGGAGAGAGGGAGGAAGGATAGGGTGAGGGGGAAGGGATGAACAGAGGAAGCCTTTGGGTCCCTCCTTCACTCGGGTGTCGGATTCTGAGCCTCTGGATGGATTTGGCCCCTTCTCTCCTCAGAGCCTCCAGAGTCAGGGATTGGACTGAGAGAGGCTGTTGGCTCCATGCAGCGTGGGAAGCACTGAGCCTGCAGCCCTCTCACCCCGACCCTTTCTGGAACCCGTTTGCCCAGTCCCGCCATGTATCAGTGCTTTGTGTTGTGGGCGTCGGGTGGAAGTGGGGATGAATGTGCAGAAGACCCCTGTGTTGGGGATGGGGCTGGGGGAAAGAAAGGAGGCTAGAGTTGACCTGTCCCCGCATGGGGTGGGGTCGGAACTTTGCCACTTGTGCCGTGTGGTTCTTGCCTTCACACCTTCTTCCTGGAGTGATGGTTTTACTCAGTGATCTGGACGAAAACACCATTTTAATTTGAGAACAAATGGGTGCATTATGAAGAATGCAGAGGAAGACGAAGGAAGTAGGAGACTTGAAGGAACTGTTGCCCTTGCCAAGGACAGCCTGAGCAGTCCCCGGGGAGCTGTTGCTTCGGCCATTCCTCCGTGGGATGGTTTGGGAATGGGAGCCGGGCCCAGTCCTTCCGCCTGCCCGGATTTGCAGCAAGGCTTAGACACCCAGAGTGGGTGGGGGCAGGGCTTGGCTGTCCCGGCCGGGGCCTAGCGATGGCTTCTGCTACCAGAGTCATCACGTCAGCCTGCCTGACATGGAGGTGAGGGGAGCTGGGTCATTGAGCAGAGGGGACAGTCCCCGGACTTCTTGTCAGCCTATCTGGCTGGGGCACAGACCCCAGCCTCTGAGAAGGCTGGAACTTGGGTAGGGCTGCTGCAGCTCCCTCATCTGAGCTGTTTTATTAAACTGTTTGCTGAAAGATTGTTAAACAGCCTCTTTGGTCCCTTGAGACTGTGATGTTGGTGAGGGCCCCTCCCCACCGTCTCCCAGAGGGGAGGCAGTGCTCACACTAGAGGGAGGCGGAAAAGATCAGAGAAGCTGAGAGGTGTCACTTGACACGTGACAAAGGCTCTAAGAAAGGTCACTGTCAGCGTTAGGCCCTAAAGCATTTGCTTGGAAACATGAATATTTTGGGGTGAGGTACCCAGTGTCTCACATGGGTGGGCTGTGACTTCTGTGCTAACTGTTCCCAGGGTTGGGAAGGCCTTGGGGGGGGGGT